ACTAATGGACACTAATAGAAGTTCTATCAATGTCTGTCAGTAATATACGAGGATAAAAATTAATTTGTCTTAAAAGATCTAAATAGGCGTGTGAAAATTTTGAAAAAAATTATCGTAAGTATTTGTAATAACCTGTTGTTATATTTTTAAATTTGGCAAATGTGAATTGCCACTCTTTAAAATATTCCTATACTTTTTGTCCATTAGGTCTAGTTTGATACTTTTTTTTTTGGTTATTTTCAATTTCTTGTTTATTGTTTCAACTTTTTTTAAAGAAAAACAATCTATTTACTTGTTTTTTTTTTAATTGAAAAGGATTTTTGTTCTTCTTCTCACAAATATTAAATTTAAAAAATATATAATTTAGTTTTGAAATATCTTTTTCTAATAATTTTTTAAATTACGTTTATTTAATTTTTTTAATTATTTACTATGCAATTTACGAGTAAAAAAATTATAAAATAATACTCTGAAAACTAGAAAGGAGAACATGGAACTAGTTTTTGTGTTTCAAAAACTTTTATACAATTTTTTTTTGATGTTTCTTAAAAATGAAAAATGAGAAATTGTAAAAATTATCGAACACTTATATTTCTAATAGAAAACTGTAAACAAGAAACATGAATATTATTAAAAAAACCTCTTTCTTTCAAGTTTTATGTTTTAGTTGATACTTCTACTAAAAATAATAAACAATATTAATATTTTAATCGATTATCATTAATTTAAAAAAAAATCTAAATTCATTTGAAAAAGTTAACACATAATTAGATGGGGCTTCAAATACTTATCTAAGTATCTATTAATCGTGTAAATAAACAAAATATGTACTTATGTCCTGTTTTCATTAAATAATTTATAAAAAAAGGTAATGACAATGATTAAATAATTTACAAAAATATTGAAAAGGTTAGAGTCTAAAAATAGAATAAAAGTTAAGAATCCTAATAGAATTTCAACTTTTTTTCAGAAACTAAATGATAATTTAATATTCATTTATTCATTTCTTTTCCATCATATTAATTGTTTTTTATTATTAATTTTTTTAGTACTACAAATTGGATGATGATTCAAACTTATGACCTCTTCATTGTAGACTGGTGTTAATTACCGTTAATCTAAGCTCATGTTGACAATTATAATAATCCTTAGAAAAGAAGACCTCTAAATTCATATTATCATTTCTCCCATTTTTGGAAGAAAAAAATCGTATTACATATCGTATTAAATGGTTTTAAAAATTTTTGAAATATTATATCAATTGTACTTGCATTGGTTTGGAATTACCGATCTACTTGTTTATATATAATTTAAGATGAATTTGATAAACAACTTTCCTTATTTGCTTCCAACAGGTTAAGACATGTATTCTCGATCAAAGGTCGACATATTCAGATCTCCACTCACATATATGGTTAAACTCAATGATTTTAACATGTTAGCAGCAGAGTTCTAAATTTCGAGCAACACGTTGATATATCGCTCGACATGTCGACGTGTCGAACACCTCAACATCAACCGGGGGGAGAATGTCGTTTTCCCTTCAATGTCGACGAATTGTCGGGACCTCGACATTTCCATCGATATCGACATTTTGAACCTTGGTTAATGAGCAATTTTACTAAAATCATTCTAAACCTAAAGATTATGCCTATTCTATCGCGTTATTTTCTACCCGTTAGAATTTTAATGTTTTATATTTCTGAAAGAATCAAATCTAAACTATTTAGATAGAATAATATAATATAGGTGCTTATTTTGTTCAATGTGAGAAAATCAATTATCTATTAAGATATATAGCTAAATATTATAATTTTGAAGCTAAAAAACAAAAAGATACCCTAAATGCAAAATTTTAATTTGAGCATAATTTTTTTTTTTTTTTTTTTGTAACCTTCAATAAACTAGAGTACATTTTTCTTGAGCACCTTTTCTAGAAATTTTTTCAAAGACTTTTTTTTTATTTCTTAAAAAGTTACCTCCAAAAGTAAAAAGTTGACTACCATTTTTATTTTTAACCATTTAAAAGCTTTCTTTATAAGTAAACCCAAAATATTCTTAGAAAATATTTAGAAAAATAAATTTTACCTTTTTTAGAATAATAAAATAGATATATGCCTGCATAGCTACTTTTTAAAAAAATTTCTTCATGCATGGTTCTTTTTTTCTCCCTTAATTCTTTGGTTAACTTCAAACATACACATTTCACATTAGATTATTTATTGTGTGGATCTATCAGATTCATTCACTTGCACATATTTCATGCATAGGTTGTTTTTCAACAAAAAATATTTTAGCTCAAGTACATTGATTGAAATGTTCCTTTTTTTTTTAATAAGATTACAAATTAAGCCCCTAAGTATCTAGCTATTTAGCTCTTAAATCTTATGTAAAAAAAAAAAAAATTCAGTGCACCTCGACTTATCTCATAGAACAATCGTTTGACACTAGTATATATACATATAGGAGGTTAAGTCTTAAACCTTAAATAATTATAAGGATAAGTACACAAATAGACCATTTATTGATTCTAATTACATAACTTTCTAATACCTATCAATTTTACACTTTTGTCAATTGTCGGACCCATCGAGGAAAAGTCCATTTTTAAATTAAATATATATTTTATCAACAAATAAAAGTATCCCTACAATCAAGCAAGCAATCATAAATAGGAAACTAAAATCTGGTGCGATTTGGTTAAATGAACCCGAATATTTCATTTAGCCGACGAGAAACATTGTTTTTCAGCATTGCATGCAGATGGCATTAAATATGGGTCGTTGCCACTCGGAGTTGTACCAGTCGCGTTGTCACCGGTGAACGTGCTGCAGATCTGGATCGTCACCGTTCAAGAAGAAGAGAGAAAATTAGAATTTATATAACCTAATAAATATATTAACGACATGTTCTTCTGTTCTCTGAGTCTGAGGAGCTCTCAGTTTTTTTTGGGCTACTTGGAATTACTGAAATCATGTTCCTACGTTGGGTGAACGGTCTATAGTCTGGCTCGGGAGTTGGACATCTGATTATATATGCTCTTTTCGGTCGGTGAATCTTCGGCAGTCTAGAAGGGCAGACACGGATGCTAGGTTTCTTGCAGGTGGGATTGGGATAGTTATTCGGGATACCACCAGTCATCTTCTCGTGGTAGCTTCGTCATCCCTCCCCCATATGTGTGGCCTCCACTTGGCTTGTGAAGCGGGCTTTCGAGCTATCCTTCTAGAGTCGGACTCCTTGCGGTGTTTCCAGTCTCTCACTCAGGACACCTCTAAGGTGGGGTGTCTCCTCAGGCATTGTTAATTATTTGTTGGATATGGTTTGCTTCTCCTCCACTCATCGTGAAGGTAATGTCGTAGCCCATGAGGATCGCATTTGGATTGGAAGGGGTTTCATATGAAATTTTCCTTTAAATTGCTTCTAATTGTTCTCTTTCCCTTTCTTAGTTGGTTTCTGATGTACCTCTTAAAAAAAGAGTGAATTAGATTAAAAAGTATTAACCTTTCAGAGGAGTATAGAAAATTTATTATATAATGATGGTTGAAATCTTCAAATAGACGCTAGAGAAAAAATAATATAAGACATCGGACTGAAAGAACCAAATCCCGATTGAATATAGAAAAAATAGAGAGTTTTGAATTGCCGCCTCCCAACAAAAGTGGGGAAATTTTTTGAATCACGAGAACAAATAAGATTGAATTTGGGGAAATTTAAAAAAACAAAATAATTATCATCGCCCTACAAAAGTGAGTGAAATGGAAAGGTCTGGAAATATTTTTTTTATAAAAGTCGAGGAAAAAATAGAATGGGCCCACATGAGATTGAGCGTAGTTTATCATACTACTAAAAATGACATCAGAAAACCAAAAAGACGCCAGAAAATTCAAACAAACGCTCTAAAATTAAGTAAAAATAAATTTGAAAAATATAAATCTTTAATAAATGTAGGAATGTTTTGCCTTAATTGAAAAAAAATATATATATATATATGGAAAGTATGAATAAAAATAAACATAAAATATATTGATGGTTGAAATTAAAAAAGGGTAATATGGTAAAAATAAAAAAAAGATAATATGGTCCAAAAAAATTTTGAAAATCTAAAAGTGAAAATTTTTTATCTAAATAGAGTTGTGAAAAATTGGTTGTGAAAAAACCCTCCAACGACAATTCCTCGTAATTGTAAGGCTAAACTACAAGTTTAGTTCAAGAACTTATTATAATACTTTTTAAAGTTCAATAATCTAATAAATACAAGTTCAAACCTCCCCACCTTATGTTGTAAAAAAAAAAAAGATACAAGTTCAAATCTTAAAAACTAAACTTATAATTTATTTCATATTTAATTAAACCCTTAAGTTAAAGGACATTAATAACCTAGAATCCGTTGCAAGTGCCACTTTATTTTATCCACCTAACTACTTTCTTCTATCATCCGTCTACCAAGTTATATCAAATCAACCAACATTTAACCAATAGATATACCAACATCATTTATTTAACAACATTAATAACATAAACTACATGAGAGTACAAACGATTTTAAGTCCAGATACATAATAATCTTTTAAAAGTTTAACGACTAAATAGATACGACCATTCAACCATTTTCCAAAACAACCTCTAAGCAGCTCCTAAACTTTATTCCATTCCATCCAATGAATGATGTTCAAGAAACATCCTCAACATGATATAATTGGAACTTGCGGGTACTGGTGCATTAACCTTAAGAGATACTAGAGAAAAATCTTGAAACTCAATCCTCCATGACTTGAAGAAATTTGAGCCCCACCTCTGGATTTCTGTCATCGCCATAAATTCCCCATTAATTGGACTTCGACAAGACGCACCTGTAAATTATCAACCTCATCTTCCATCCATCTTCCAACAAGAGCAGAGAAGAAATAAGAAATAAAACTGACAAAACAAAATGAAGAATCCAGACATGGCAGGTTTGATTAGGTGTACAGAGGAAGAAAAAAACAATGGCGTTTTGGAGCAACAACTCACCAATTATGCACAAAGAAAAGAACCAGAAGAGCATAAACAAATTATTTAAGAAACTAAATAAAAAATCTGGAAGAATAGAACATTCTACTTCATATGGGCCTACTGCCAATTGGGAACAAACTTGCTACATGACAACAAAAGGGTCCCAATATAAACTTTTATTGTCCCCCAAAAGTCAAAAAGTTGAAGGTAGGTTTGGATCTTTCCTTTGCATCGTTTTCCCACTTTCTAAGGTACGGTCCTCCATTGTTAATATTATAAGAGATCGAAACAGACCTTGTCTTCCCAAATTTTTGTGAGAACATGGAAGGAGAGAGAATCAATATTTTCGCGACAATTGTCACTATATGGGAGCTCCTATACAGTGTCCTCTTCTGTTATCTTTGTCTTCTTCCACTTGTGCTCTTCCTCCTCCCCACAATTTAAGACCCAACTTCTCTTTTTCCACAAACAGGGAATATAAAGAGCACTCCTCAGTCCTCAGTTTCATAACTTTTGTAGGAAAGCCACATGTTTAAGGAAGACACTGCTATGATGGACTCCAATCCACCTCTCTTCCATCAATATGAGTTGCTTTTGCAATCCACAGCACACTTGCAACCATTTAACAATGGAAATCAACCAACTAGCTCTGTCATGGAGGAATGTCAGCTCCCTATGATTGATCTTAAAGGTTTGGAAAGTAGCAATGAAAGGGAGAGGATGGCTTGCACTAGAGAGATTTTTAGGGCATCTGCAGAATGGGGATTCTTCCAAGTGATTAACCATGGGATACCCACAGAGCTGCTGAGCAGAATGAGCAAAGAACAAATGAAGTTGTTTGGGACATCCTTTGAGAGGAAATCTACCAGTGGGATTTTGGATAATTCTTACAGATGGGGAACACCTACTGCAACTCACCCAAACCAGTTCTCTTGGTCTGAAGCTTTTCACATTCCCCTCCGAAAGGTCTCTGAAGCTGCCTGCTATGGAGAGTCCATTTCTTTAAGGTATCACTATCAAATTTGTCACCCTTCTCCCAACTCTGCGTCCATTTTATTTAGTTCCCATACTTTAAACATTGTCCGTCTTTAAACTTAAAAAGTTTAACTACATCCTTAAATTCTAATATGGCATGCTTGTTAGTCTGTCCAAATACACACGGCAATTCAAATTTTAGGAACGTAAATGAAATTTTTTCAAGTTCAATGACTAAACCAAAACAATATCCAAAGTATTAGGAGGACTATATTTATAATCTAACTTAATATCTTTTACACTATAATATCCATGCACTTTTCATCCACATCCCGCAAACTTGAAGAGTTTCAGTTCTTTTAAGACATCTTCACAAACAGTTAGGCTACAGAGTAAGTAATGACAGTTCGATATTCCAATAAACCAACATCAAACGGCCACATTTCTCCCACAATTGCACTACGTTACGAAGATGAGGAAAACCCATTACTCAAAACTCACTGACCTTATATCTTTGGACGCCAGGAAAGTGATGGAGGAACTGGCGAGCGCCATGTCGAAGCTAGCAAAGTCGCTGGCAGGAGTTTTGGTGGAGGGTCTGGGCCACCGGAGGGAGGTGTTGGACGATATCTGCGACGAAAGCACGTGCTTCCTCCGGTTGAATCACTACCCGATCTGCCCATTTTCCGGCGAGGTTTCCGGGCTGGTGCCGCACACCGATAGCGATTTTCTGACCATTCTTCATCAAGATTGCGGCGGCGGGCTTCAGCTGATGAAAGGATCGGAATGGGTGGCAGTGAAACCCAATCCAGAAGCCCTCGTCGTCAACATTGGAGATCTTCTCCAGGTAAAAACTCCAATCTTTTGGACTGCATTTAGTATTTCATTCTTATACTATAAGATTTTAATATGGTTAACATAAAATCAACCTTTCACCCAGAGTAGCATAACTTAAATAGTTAATACACTTATTTCTTATTAGAAGGATGTGAGTTCAAATTTTCAACTCAAGAACTTAGTTTAATTAAGTTTTTAATTAAAAATTAAAAATTTAGTTTTTGAATGTCTAATATATTTGTGAAATTTAAAATTTATATCTATTTTCTTAAACTATTAATTTTTTATTTTTTAATTCATGAATTTATTAGACACAAAATTATTGACAGTTCAAAAAATTTTTTAGTACAACATGTATTAGTGAAGATTGAAATTCATAACTTTTTGATTGGAACTATATGTTTTACTTTATGCTTAGATTGGCAAAATTAAATGACTTGGTAGACAAAAATCGTCCTTACTCTACCAACATTACATGTTTTCATGAGCTAGTATTTTCTATTTGTTTGGACTATTCGGTTTAAAACCAAACCAAGTAACAAGTTGGAAAAAAGATGCAAGTTTTCACTTCATCGAGCTATAAGAACCAAATGGAAATCAATTTTATAATTTAACCCTTTTAAAAACAAATAAGTATACTCAAAAACTCAAAAAATATATATATTACATAAATGAAAATAAAAATATTGCTTACGCCCTTAAGATGCATGAAGCCAAACACTTACCCAACCCCTAACCACCATGATTATAAATAATGCATAGATCAATAAATAGACGTAATAGTTAATACCATTAAACATTTTAATTAAAAGCTCATTTTTGTCTCCATAGCTAAAATATTAAATTACATTTTCGACTTCAAAGCTTAAGATTCCAAAGTTGTTATTATTTTTAATTTAGGTTTTGCATTCTTTAAGACACTGTATAATGCATACATCACTTTTTAATTTTATTTAAAATGTCTTAAAAGTTCTATTTCGTCTCTAAGTACTTTAAATTTTTTTAATCAAGTCTCTAGTCTTGTAATAATAATATGAATAATACCTCACCAAATGGATTTTAATTTGATTTAAGTAGAGTTGGTTTAGGGAGGTTGGTCATCAACTTCTACATTTATATTATAAAATACATTGAAAGGAAGAAAAACCTAATAAAATCATAAATAGAAGTTCAACTAATATGACTTTTCTTAATATCTCACTTTTATTTATTTGGTTTAAATATTATTTTCATACTTTCAATTTGGTTCATTTTAATTTCTATATTTTTACCTGTTTGTTCATTTTAATTCTTATGCTCCCAAAGTTTGATTTTGCAATTTTAAAAACTGATCATTTTTATTAAGAGATTTCTATTATGTATAAAATTTGTGTTAAAAAATAAAGACTAAATTGATAATTTTTTAAAAAGTGCAAGAACTATAATGAATGTTTTGAAAATACAAGGACTACAATTAACAAATGTTAAATTTTGATCCTTTAAAATGATCATTATGGTTTATTCATTTTTACTTTTATCATATTTCTTTCAAATATAATTTTAACATGACATTTCTTTGACTAAATTTTTTCAAATGTAATCATAAATTTGTAGTAAAAGATTTCAACTGTGCATCAGATAGGAACTAAAACTAACATTTTGAAAGTAAACTATTTTTTAATGAAAATTCAATTCAACAACTTAACGACAAATAACATAAAATAAATCATTGCAAACAAAAGTCCAAGAAGCAAAATATTAAAAGAGCCAAAATAGGTGTTATACCTGCAGACTTTTAGAGTACTTGTGTGATATCTCCTCATTAACCTTCCAATTGATTCCATTGGTTTGGGTTTGGATCCACTAGAACAGAATCTTGTCCTAAAACCATTCAAATATTAGAACACACACTTTCTTTAGTATTTTTCTCATTCATTTCATCTTTATTTGTTTCTTGTCAAATATCTTCCTCCATAGAGGAAAAGAAATGGTAGAACATGATGCTACATTTACAAACTTACTTCATAAAATATGATAATGCACGATTAACTTCATGTTTTCTTCAAAACTCAGTCAACTTTTTGGATTTAGGATTTAAACCATAAGACATGTCCATTCTCCCATATCTACATCCATTTTTTTAGTATAACGACATGTGGGGTTGGGGATTCAACCATTCGACTTTTTGGTCGGAGATATATGTGCCTCTCATATCCACATCCATAACTTCTATAGCTTAATTATTAAAAACATTTATATATATATAAACCTAAGGTGGTGTCAAAAATGTGAGTTGAGAGTGATTATAGTATAGCAATTAGAAACTCACTAATACAATCGTCATGGACTGATAAGTTGAGCTGCAGGCTTGGAGCAGTGATACCTACAAGAGTGTGAAGCACAGGGTCGTGACGAATGCGATGCGGGAAAGATACTCGATAGCGTACTTCCTCTGCCCTTCGAATCAGTCTCGTATCGGGAGTTACAGACAGCCTTCACCTTATAGACACTTCACCTTTGCAGAATACAGGAGACAAGTCAGAGAAGATGTGGAGAAAACTGGCTACAAAGTAGGTCTTTCGAGATTTCGGATTTAAATTACAGCAACAAGAAGTAAAATATAAAATCAGTAGCAATACCAATTCAACTGAATCACAATAAGATGTAATTGTAATCGTGTCCCCAACAAACCACTGTTATATAAAATCAAAAGCAGTCTGTAAAACAAAGATACATGATATTACAAGTCTTTAAAGAAATCTTATTCGCGCAAAATTGTTCCTGATTTGGCATTGACTAGACTAGCCACTGATACGGGATATATCTATTTCCACGACGTAAAATTTCCAGAAAAAATTCTGATGGCCTAAGGGCTAAGCATGCTTTTTTGTTCTTTTTTTGGGTAAGAAACACTGCAGACAAACATCATTAAAGAGCAAAAAGGAGTATACAGGGTCGGGGAGCACAGTGCACACTACAAAAGCTCTTCCGTTTCTTATCAAAAAAGAAAAGGGAAGAAAGCTACAAAAACAAGGAGAAGAAGGTAGAAGAAGAAGAAGGAAAAAAAAGGACAGAAAAACAGAGAGAGAAGATCACACATCTCTCCTATCTTGGGACTAAAGACAATACCCCAAACAGGGTCAAATTTTTCTCCTAGTAAGTGGCGTTAGGGAGGGAGGGAGGATTAACACTAAGGATTCCAACTCACTTTCTAAAGAGAAACATTAAATTTAGATAACTCAAATGCTACCCTCCACTCCAGTCTTTTGTTTGCTCATTCAAAATTCTGTTACTCCGTTCCAGCCAAATACACCAAAGAGTTAATTTCAAACCACAAGTCCAAACTTCTTTGCTTTCCTCTTGATAGGATGACTACAAAGCATATGAAAGACAATGTCTTCCAACATTGAAAATTCCAAGATATAAAAAAGATTTGTAGAAGAGATTTGGTGGAGCTTTTTCCATGGTCTTGGCTTATCGTGCTATTTTGGAAGTTCTTCCTCCTTTCCAAAACTAAGGGAAGTTTTTGTAGACGAGACAGCTTCTAAGCAATTTTATGAAATATCCAAGTAAAAGGTGACAGGAGAGTTGATTCTCAAGGATGTACAGGAATCTTGGAGTTTGCTGGAATTTGGCCACTTCTAATACATCCATCTAGGCCATTGGGTCTACATTTTTTTTGTGATATTCCTCCTTTTGCGACTTGTAATTTTTTGGTAGCTCTCCTTTTACTTGGGTCTATATTTTTGTATGGCCCTTTTATTTTTCTTTTATTTTTTGCAATCTTTTTTCTTGTTAACTAAAGCGGTTTTTATACTTGAAAAAACACCTTAAACATGCATAAAAACAGTAAAAGATAAGCCATAAGTAAACAACAGCCCGACAAGTGTTGCATCCAAAATAATTAGAGGTAAAATAGTGAAAGATATATACCTCAGATACATCATCTGGATGATATCAGTTAAGACGAAACAGCTGTAGGGATCAGATCAGCCACCTTGTAGTCCAATGTTCCTGGATCCAGAAACATCTTGACATATCTACTCCGTCTTGAGACATCGCTGTGACAGATTTATATGTTTTATTTAGCCAAGAAATATTGCTACCTTATCTTTCAAGCTGCTCTTCTTCTTCATTACTGAGACCACTTCTCCAACATTATCATTATGCCTTTGACTTTGACTTTGACTTTTCAAGTCACAAGCAAATTGTATGTCCTTTGTAACAAATTTGGATTGCTCGTTGTCTGAGGACTTCTTAAGCAAAGGACCCAGAAATAAATCCAGCATGTCCTTTGCAGGATCTCCTGTTCTCCTGACACCTACATCAACCTTTTCACAATCTGAAATTACAGTTGAATCACAAGAAACTGCAGGTTTAAAGTTCAATGAACTCTGCTCACTGTCGTTATTAGTAATAAAAGATCCGTCTGATTGATTCCTGGTGTAGCTCGTTGTTTGATTTAAGCTACTAGATTCAGGTTCTCCATATAATTTGTGTTTACCAGCCCTATCCTCATCAGCTTCAACATACTGCATGCAAATGAAAATAATTATATTCCTGAAAATTAATGCATAATAGTTGTACGAGGGAGTAAATCCACCAAACATTCAACTATCTGTCATTTTCTGATCATACCAATAATGTTAGGCATAAACGTAGGATAAATCGATTACTACTTCATGGGATTGAAACAAAATAAAATGTCTTTGCTATGTAGGAGAGGGTAAACGACCTCTTTTGCAATGACCATCAGATCTTCCACTGTCAATTCTGTATCATCATCACCCTGAAGTTGGACTTCGACATCTAAATTACTTCCAGAGCCCGATTTCTTCAGCCTTTTTCTTTTTTTCAAAGAAGAATCCAGCGGCTTCCTTCCAAGTCTATTTGATTTCTTTGCTGGGACTACCTCAGGGTCATCAGTATTCTCAGCCTTGTCAATTTTACTTGAATTTCTCTTCCTTCCCTTTCTTTTCTTAGATTCACACTCTGGGACGCACAAATCTTCCACCAAAATTTCTGTCTCTGGGCGCAACACAGATTTCGGAGGACACCAAACCGAATCTGCTTCCTTAGTTAGGGAGGCCAGAAAGTCAAGTTGTTCATCTAGATGCTCCTTCTTGTTATCTACATCATTAGGTCGTGGTACTTGGTCATCAGCTCGAGCTCCCAGCATCCACTGCGGTAGACGACGTCCAATTCCTCCATCAGAAGCAACTCTCACCATTTCTTTCTACCTGATGTTATCCTAAACCACTGATACGGACTGTTTGATGCAATATATACGCATACATACATACATATACATAAATCAGTATAACTCCGAGGGCTAACTTCAAACAAAAACGTAGACGTGAAACCTCTTAGAACCAGAAAAAGATATCAAACGTAACGTGCAAGAGATTGCAACAGATACAGACTTTCCCCATTGCTATAACGGGAAAAAATTTCAGACTTCCAGTCCTCTGATTCCCCCATCGAAGTAAGCACTGGGAATCAACAAGTGCTAAAGTTGAGATATTACATGGGTGAGGATAAAGATAATAGCCCTCATATCAACTTAATCGGTAATTGCCTCGAAATATAAAGAATTATACAATTCAGATATCCGTTACACTAAAATTCAAGGATCAAATATTTCAAAGATGGAAAAACCCTTTACGTCCGTCAAATTTCGTAAACTGAAACATCAGAATTCAATCATATTTCAAGAGACCCAATCAAATATCGAAGTGGGGAAGAGAATCAACTGACCTACGAGGTTTGACAAGCTTTCGTGATCTGTTTCGGAAATGGCGACGGAGAACGCCGAATCACCGATTCACAAGGAACCATTGCCCTTTGGTTATCATGAGAAGCCCCCCAACTTTGCTTTCAAATTTAAAAATATGTAATATTTATAATATTTAACCAAAAAAAGGTTAAATTACCCAATTGGTAACTAGAAGGTTTTATTTTTTTAAATACGACAAACATTGAAAGTTTAATTTTCACCATTGAAAAATTTTAAAGAATAAACTAATAATAGTTTATACATAAGTTTGAGAGTTTGATTTTTAGCATTGAAAATTGATTTCAAATTTTTTACTTATAAAAGTTTATTGGGGTGTTTGGTTTTCCGTTTTCAAAACAGGGAGTAGGATTTGTTAAGACAAACTAATATTTGTTTTACAGTTTTATAAACCCGAGTTTGTTACAGTAAATACTATTCACCCTAGGTTTACTGCAGTAAATACTATTTCACCCCATTGCTACAATAATTTATTTCTATCCTAAGTTGCTACAATGTATATTTTGTCTTTATTCTCTCTTCTAAAATGCATTAGTTTTTTAATTGAATATATCAAATAAATGAAGAAATTAATTAATTATAATTATAATTATAAATAAGTAAATCGATTTAATTAAAATTATATGTAATAAATAATTAATCCAACAATTTTTTCTCTAGTTTTTTCTAAATCATCCAAGAAAAATCTAATTTTTTTTATCTTGGTATCTATTTCTAGCTGTTTTTTTTTCATTTTATATAGTTCATTTTGTAACTACCATTTTTATTTACTTTTTGATATCACTGTCGCATTTGTAAAAGACATTATAATTTTATATAATTATTTATTTTAATTTTATATCTTCTTTTTAACTTATGAAAGTTAATAGTTTTTAAACAAATATTATTTAAAAGGTTTTTACTTTGCAATAAAATGTAATTTTCAAATAAAAATAAGTTAAATTTAATAGTAACGTTGATGATAATTGAGTAATCAATTTTTTTAGAATAATTAAGTAACCAAATTTACTTAAGATAGTAAATAGTGAAAAATTAAATAAATTGTTGATAACATTTTCTCTACGGTAAAATTTTTATGTCTAATGAATTTGTATACTCTTATTTAAACTTTGATAAATACTTCAAAAGTATTTTCATAGATAATTGAAAATTTTAAAAATTAATCATTGGAAAAAAATTGGAGGGACAAATGTATTAAAAATATTTTATATATCCTTAAAATAATATTTCCTAATTTCATAAGAAAATTTACTTATTTAACATAAAAGTCAAATAATTTTATTTTAATTAAATAATTAGTTTATAAATTATATTTTTTTAAAAGAAAATTAAAACTTAACCGATCAAACACAAGTTTAATAAAGCTAGTTTAACAAAATAGAAAACACAAACTTAACAAACCCAGACCTAACACCAACCAAACACAGACTTACCACATGGCAAAACAGCGAACCAACACACCCTCTAAAGGTTTAATATTTACTTGTGAAAGTTTAGTGCTAATTTTTTCGGGTTTTTGGGCTGAGTAGCCCTTTTTAAGGGCCTACTTTGAAATATGTATCAACCCCTAAAACGTATGTTTTCTGAACATTTGTTGACATCATCAAATAAATCAAATGACCATTAATGCCCCTCTACTACTTGAGTTAAATTTTTTACTTTCCCTCCCTATTTTTGGTTTTTGGTTTGAATATGATTTTCACTCTCCTCTCTTTCTTCTCGTTCTCATCTTATTCTATCCCTCATCTCTCTTCGTGTTCATTCTCTCTCTTCCCTCTCCCTCGAATTTTCTCAATCTTCAACGAAGAAATGAAAGAAACAGCCTTTTTCACCGTTCGAAGAAAATCGCAAGCGTAAAGTAGATCTGATTCTCTCATTCGTCCTAAATCTGAAGCCTCCTTCATGTTCAAATCTCAAATAAATCTCCCCCTCTTCTTCGCCATTTCACGATGGGCTGTTCACAATCTAGGATCGAAAACAAGAGGTGATTTCCCGATGTAAGGATCGAAAATTATTTATGAAAGAGGTAACCGCCGCCCGGAATGCCTTCGCGGAGAGAACAAGAAAACGAGAAGAGAGAGAAAACGAGAAAGAGAGAGAGAACAAGAAAGAGAACGAGAGACAGAGCAAGAAAGAGAACGAGAGAGGAGAGAGATCAAGAAAGAGAGAGAGACAGAGCGAGAAAGAGAAAGAGAAAGGAGACCGAGTGAGAAAGAGAACGAGAGAGCGAGAGATAAAGCGAGAAAGAGAACGTGAGAGGAGGGACTGAGAGAGCGAGAAAGAGAGCGTGAAAGAGGGATAAAAAAAAAAGAATCCTGATTTCAATTGAAGCAAGGTCGTTTTTGGTAAAGAATCTAATCCTGTTTGGGTGGAAATTTTTGGAAATAAAATTGGGATATAATTCAAATTTGACTGCTTAATTTTGGAAACGAGTGAAATAATTGATGTTTTTAATACGTTTTCAAAAGTTTACAAAAGGATATGTCAAAATAAAAAATAGAGAATCATATCCTATTCAATTATTTATTTATTCTTGTTATGTTTTTTTTCCCTGTAATTAGCACTAATTTGATTTAATTATTCTATTTTGATCCTTTCCTTATTTATTTAAATCAATTTTAATTTTACTAATCATGTATTTATGATTTAGTGTGGGTAGGATTATTTTTCCTCTAGGATTTTCTTTTCTTAACATATTTAGGATTTAGATTTTTATTTTTATTTTTTTCAACAATAACAATGAAATACTATAGGAAGGGCTTATAATTTTAGGATTTAGGATATTTTTTTCTATATATTTATATTTAAGATCTACTAGATTTTAAATGATTAAAAGTTTGACGGGTTAGGTTTTTTACATTTTTATGTTCTACTATAAATATTAAGAAAATAAATTCTTACCAAATGTAATAGATTTAATTTACATACAAATATGGAAAAGAAAACAATAAACTCCTAAACTCTAAACCGTATAAAATCTCAAAAAAAAAAAAACTGTATAAAATCTAATAGATTTTAAATACATGTATTAATTAAAAAAACTAAATTCTAGGAAAATAAAATCTTAAACCCTAAAACCAATAAAATCTAATAAATTCTATTTTTCAAAAAAAAATTTCAATAATAATATATATGGAAATAGAAATCCTAAAATCTGATTTATTAAACAGATCCATCATTTTAGTTTTCAGGATTCTTTTTTTTTCCTCCCTCTTTCACGCTCTCTATCTCTTTCTCGCTCTCTCTCCTCTCTCGCTCTCTTTCTTGATCTCTCTCATCTCTCGTTCTTTTTTTCGATTTCTCTCCTCTCTCGATCTCTCTCCTCTCTTGTTCTCTTTCTCGTTCTCTCTCTGTTCTCGTTTTCTCTCTCTCTCTCCTCGTTTTCTTGTTCTTTCCACGAAGGCATTCCGGACAGTGATGACGTCTTTCATAAACAATTTTCAATCCTTACATCGAAAAACCACCTCATGTTTTCGATCTTGGATTGTGAACAACTAATCGTGAAATGGCGAAGAAGAGGGGGAGATTTCTCTGAGATTTGAACATGAAGGAGGCTTCAGATTTAAGACGAATGAGAGAATCAAATCTACTTTACACTTGCAATGTTCTTCGAATGGAGGAAAAAACGAGGTAGTTTCTTTCATTTCTTGGTTGAAGATAGAGAAAATTTGAGGAGAGAGAAGAGAGAGAAGGAACACGAAGAGAGATGAGGGAGAGAAGAAGATGAAGAAGGAGAAGAAAGAGAAGGAGAGAGAAAATTATATTCAAATGAAAAATAGGGAGGGAAAGTAAAATTTTAACTAAGTAGTGGAGGGGCATTAATCGTTATTTGATTTATTTAATGATGTCAGCAAATATTTAGAAAACATACATTTTAGGGCTTGAAACATATTTCAAAGTCGGCCTTTTAAAAAAAGGGCTACTCAACCTAAAACCTCAATTTTTTCTCTATGAAAGTTTTAGAGTTTAATTTTTTACGCTTGAAAGTTAAGGGGTGACATTGTAATGCCTACCATCTCTAGAGGTGGTTTATGCAACTCCTCTTTAATATAAAAATATATGCTTTTATATTTTTAAATAAATAAAGATAATAATATTTTTTCGCAAAAGTATTATATATATAGAAAAAACACTTTGTCAATATCAAGACTCAACCCCTCTAGAAAGATTTACATCACGAGGCAAGATCATGTAAGACAAAAATTGAATGGATTACATACCTCCAGCCATATCAATTAAATTTGGAAAACAAGAAAAGAATATCTGACACCGTTATTAGCCTATCCAATGCTTTAATTCATACCATGATGGAAAACATAGACTTCTTTTTGTTTTTAGGCTAGAGATCTTAGTTTTTCTATAAAATCTCTCTATACATTCTTCTTCCATCGAGAAGAATACAATGAAATAAAAATGATTTAAAAAAATAACCACCCATAACTTGATATTTTGGTTGGTGGGCCACTAAGGGTTTAACTCCACGATAGGGGTGTCACACAACTAAAACTCAATTAAGAATTTTTCCCCATGTGTTTCATAAGGAATGCACTTTAGTTCAACCTTCACTCATTTGCCCAGATCAGAGACACGATAGGAAGAACACAACATGTTTAGAAACACACGGCAAACGCAACACAAGTCTTGATGTGGCAAACGACCCCCACTTTTCTTACCTTTTCATTATTGCACACTTTGAATTAAGAATACACTTGTGGGTGGAGTGGGGTGATTGGACCAATCCCAACTTATCCCTTTTATAAGATAATTACTCTTGTCCACTGAGTCACATAAACTCTCCCTTTTACAAATTTTATGCATTCTTAAACTTAACAAGCTAACTTCCCTAATTTTAGGAACCACTTAGTCTTAGTCCCCAAGTATCTTAACCACCTATTTAAAAAATAGCATATTTGGACCCAGTCTCAAGGAAGACTTTTACAAATTCAATGCCAAGCCTTACACCTCAAGTTTAGAACTTCTATTTAAGAAGTCCAATACATAAGGGTGTTTCATGTGTGTTGCTTGCGCATAGCCTTGCGCCTGCATCCGCGTGCCTGCCCCTATCC